AATAAAACTGTGAATCGTGACGTATAAGTTTTGTAATATGATCATTTAAATGAGTTTATTTGAACAGTAAAAATTTTTTAATTACGAGTAGTAAAACTTCTGAATCTTGCTGCTAACCTTAAATGAATTTAATTGTAATTACTAGAAATCAGAAGCTCTTTTGGTTTTTTGGATATATTAATTGGAAATTATTGAATTTTGTAAAATCCGGTTTTGATATTCGGGTCTATTCATAGATATAAACTAATTTTTAAAAAGAAATTAAAGAAGTTATTTTCAAATTTTTGTAATGATTTTTTAAAAAATCGTCTTTTATTCTTCTTCGTAACATATTGCCTTTCCACTCAAGAAATGTGAACAGGGACAAGTATGGTGAGCTATATGATATAGTAATTTAAATTGTAAAACATGCCGTAAGAATTTTTCATGTTTCAATTTTAAAACACTAAATGAACACTTAGTTTTTATGTCAGTCATATAAGAAAGTCATAGCTTTAAGACAGTGATATATAGGTTCTTGTAAGGTTATGAAATTGACATACAATTTATCTTAATATTGAAAATCATTTCGATATTACTGTTATTATTTGCTTTCATAATTGAATAAATAACTAATTTTAATGATTCGGATTATAACAATAATAAAAACTTGAATTAATTAAAATAAAAAATTGAAAAATAACCAGTTTTAGAATAATAAAAATTAATAATTCATATATATGAATCTGGTGGATTTTCCCGTACTTCTTCATTGATTGTACTATAATTCTATAAAATATAAACCATCAACTCTGGGGTTCATTTCTTAATGAAAATATATCATTATTAATAAGCCCATGTTAAGATATTTTGCTGATCGCTTTATTTTTCTAGTCTTTGTTACGGATTATAAAATTGGTTATACCTTGATTTTGCTAGTTCAGAATGAAGCATAAATTACTGTTACTTAGTTAAACTAAATTTTTTAATGTTATTAAAATTTTTAAGTTAATTTTAATTTTTTTCATAAATTCGTTTTAAAATATTTCAAAAGTGTTTGAAAACAGTAGTTCCACAATTAGTTTTAATTAAAATATGAATTAGAAGACGAAATTATTTTAATTAACCTTAGTCTTGACTCTAGACCAAATTATGAAAGCCATAAGTGGTTATTGTAATGTTTAATCTCTTATAAAATCTTCATCAGATTTGCAATTTTGACATATTCAATAATCTATTCCTGTAGGTCTGAGACTGAGCTTATGATGTAACAATATGAAGATAAATCTCAATCTACTATATATGCAATAGGACCTTTAATGCGACGGACAAAGAAACCTTGCCCTGTTAGGTCAGTTTTTGCCAAATGTAGTATCTTAACAGTATGGTTTGTCAAGATGCTAAATTACTATAATATTATTAAATTCCCCCTTTTCCCAAAATTTTTTGATAACAAATTTTCTCATTCATCTCTTTTTCTCATTCAACAAGATGACATACCCGGAAAACCAAAATAGCATGATATTATACTTTTTATCGAATTCTGTAAACAATTCCTTAGCAACTTATACAATTTACATAATCCAGCCCCTTAATTTCTGCCTTTTTTCCTTTTGCCAAGAATACGCAGCAATTGTGATGTTCAACAATCTATGTGAATGGGTTAAAATAAAAATTAAAGAAATGCACATAAAAAATAGTTTGGTTTCGAATTTTATATTATAACTGTATTTAAGGATAGAAATCAATTGTTTACTAATCACAAATTAAAATCAGGAAAAGTTTTCAATGTCATTAGTATGTTATTCAATATTCTACCGCAACATGAACTATATTATACCAAGTGAACTAAATCTGCCACCAACAATGAATGTACCACATAGAAAATATTTGTAGCAAAATGAGATTTGAAAATATTTTATTCAATTTAATTTAAAAAGTGAATAAATTAGAATATTTTAAAATACACAAACATATGCACATATATATTTATGTATCTATATCTATGTAATAAAATTCCCAATATTAATTGTAGTATTGCCGTTTTAACATGAATTATTTATTTAAAAAAATTCTGACATTCTTTGATTTATTTGCTTTTTTGTTTTTTTAATGAAATTATTGAAATATTTTGAGATTTTACCTTCAAATTCTTTAAACTTATAAATTGCATATGTTAAAATATTTCTTATATATAACGAGGTATATAATATAATCCATATAATAGTAACAAAATATAATTTCTGTTTAGTATTGTATTGTATTGTATAATTTCTGTTTAGTATCCCAGTGTAATAATTTAGAGTAAAATGGTTGATAAATTTCTGAAGCAAAAATTTATGGCAATATATGTACATACAATGTGTTTATATACATACACACATATTTGATTTTCAAGAATGAGATTCAAGAATGAGCTCAATATTTTATTTTCATAGCAAAGCTAAGCATTATGTATGTAAGGATTTGTCTTAAATCAAACATGAATTATTAAAAATATTTCGGACTAAATTTGACCAATTTTATCTATTTACTTTAATTTTCCAAGTCCAATTTTTCAAATTTCTTGAATTCTGCTTGTACTATTTTGTATTCTTACTTTTATTACTTTTAATCACTTGAAAATTGTTTATCTAATACAAATTTTTAATGAGTCTTTTTAAAGATCACCTGTCGTTAAACGGTTTTCCAGTAATAGTGATATTCTTATCAATGAATAAAAGTAAATTTTTTCAAGAATTTCAAATAGTATGTTAGTCCTTATAATATGTCTTATTATAACATTATTTATTTTATCTCCATAGCCGATGGTTTGGAACTAGATTTTGTGTTTAGGAATAAGAAAGCACATTGTATTTTGTACTTTACATCGAATAATTTTCTACTTTGTTGTTATGAAATTTCTACTTAATTGAAGATTTTGTAAAATACTGAAGACAAAATAAAAACTGCTCTTTCCAAATATTAATTTATACACTTGTGATTTGATTTAATTCAAATTAAAAACATTCATCCCTAACAGGAGTGAAATATCAACTAAATGAATAATATTTTCTATGTGGTATACACTATTCCACTCCCTTTCTAACTTACTTCCTTCCTGACTTAAATGCTTTCCTCACTTGTTTCTCAATCGATTTTCTAACTAGGCCCCTTAATGAGTTAACGTTTTGTTAAAATACGCGAAATTAAACCTAGTAACCTGCAGCATGTTCCAATTTATTCTTCAAAAATTAATTAACTATGCATATTATGTGTATTTCTTCAAATTTCGTATTGTGATGAACTTTAAATTGGTAATGTAATTTTTGTTAACAGTCATAATGATGTGACAAAATTACGAATTTAAACGAAATTCACAATCTGGTCATAATTTTATTTATAAAACTTGTCTACACATAAATATGTAGAAAAAAATATTTTATTTTAACTGTAAATCAATGTGATTAAGCGTAAATTCCATATTATCCACCACTCTCATTACCACTTATATGTAATTATTATTATATACGGTGATAAATAATAATAATAATTACTGTCGTTGAATTGTAAAATCAATTATTAGTAAGAGAGAAAAAAACTACATATTTTTTTTTGTTTTATTTATTTTTCACATTTCAATTTCAATTTAAATTCCATTAAATTCAATTTCAATTTCAATTAAATGCAAATATTTTTTTTGTTCGTTTTTTATTGTTTAATGTTTACTCATAACTCATTTACTTTATTGTTATTGTTATTTGCTTTTATATTATTTTTTTTTTAAAGATAAAAGGTATTTAAAATTTTTTTTTTAAATTCAACCACTTTCACGTATTTAAATTTTTTTTTGATTGATTAAAAATTACAAACTAATTACTTATAAATTTTTTTTTAACTGGTATAAATATTATAATTATTATATTGGTGATTTTACCGTATTATAATAATAATGAAAGTGTAAATTTTATTGCAGCAGGTTACCAACACATACATTCATGCATGCATTCATGCATACAATATTGCATGCATGTTTATTGTTTGTTGTTGTTATGTGGGAATTAAATGAATTTAGTACTGTATTTACTAATAAGTATAGTACTAAAATAATAATTTCGAATATGCGTTTCGAAAATAGTGTGTGTAATGTGTAGGTGAGTAACATTTCTTATAAGAATACTTAACACATGTGTGTACGTACATTACAAATTGTTATGTTTAATATGTACAGGTAAAATTTCTTTGGTAAATATTGTATAAATATTAATATTTTTAAAAGTTGTATTTATTAAAAATTAAATTAATTATTTGTATGCAAACACACACTATTATATTCAAAGAAGAAGATATACTCGAAAATATTATAATGTGCTTATAGAGCTCACCTACTAAAACATTCACTATCATAAAATTTAAAAAAAATTTATTCAAAAAATGTGTGTATGTATTTGTTCGATAAACACAGTGACGTGCTATACAATAATTTTGTAGTATGAATGTTTAATTTTTGTTTCTGCTACGTTAGTTAATTTTTAGTATAGTCTACTTTTATTTACTACAGAAATTTTTTTCCTCACATTAATTTCTTGTTTTTCTCTTTTTTCTTATTTTAATTTTTTCTCATTTTGTACTTTTATATTTGGACAATGATACGTGGCCGGCTTTTTTCTTATACTGTTATTTTTATTATTATTTTTCAGTGTTTTCTTTCATCTTCTTATTTTGATTTTGTAATGTTACTCTCCACATCTTTTAACTGGTATTATGTGTGTTATTTACCTATATATGTATTTATACTTTAGTATAATCTCTCTTATACATGAATTAATACAATAATATAGTTGATTGTATGATAATGATGATTATTAAATTTCCATTTTGTTGTTGGTATAAAAAAACCCGTTTGAGAAAGAGTCAAACAAAAAATAAAATGTAAAACAAGAAGAAAAAATAAAACAAAAAAATTAAAGAGAATAACAAAGCCGGGATTGAATTAAACCATTGGTAAATAATTTTTACAATCACTTTCAGTGCACCTTCTTACCTGAATCTGATGAGATCGTGTAATGTCAACGTAGCGGAATTTTCTTGAAATTTATCAGAAAAAAAAATTCAAATTTAAAAAAAAACAAAAAGGAGTGTTTTGAGGAAAAAACGCGAATTAAAAAAAAAAATTATTTTTTTTCCTCAGTTACTTTGAACTTAAATCGAAGGCGAGCTTTTTTGTCGCGCTATTTGAAATATTGGAAAATAAGAAAACTTTTTTGCAGCTATATCTGATCATTGGTTTCTTAATTACCATTATTAAATAGGAATCAAAATGTAAATTTTAAATTTCAAAAAAAAAAAATTGTTAATTTTAATAAAAAATTGTTAATTTAAATAAAAAAGTCAATAATTTAATTGCAAATTAGTTTCAAATTAATGAAAGTGACATAGAAAAGACGAAAAAAAAAACAAATGAAAAATATTTTAAAATAATTTTTTTTAACAAAAAAAAAAAATATTTTCATCTTTTACAATTAAATACGAAAAAAGAGTTGAATAAAAAATTATTTAAAGAAGAAAAAGCAACATTAATAAAATAAAATTTATTAATTAAAAAAAAAAATTTAAAATTGAAATTAAAAAATATTTTAAAAAATTTTGGAACACATCTATTCAATCCATTTTTTCTCAGTGTGCCAATATTGGAATAGTCTTTTAAATTTTGTTAGACAATATTGCTTTTAAAATTGCTTTTTGAAGTAAATTTGTTGGATGCAACCTTATAGTCTGTGCTGACGTTTGATATACTGCGAAAAAATGGATTCAAATTTTAGTAATTAAATTTTCATTAAAATAATTTTAAATAAAATTACGAAATATACAAGATGTTATACCAAAATTAATATTATTACCCTTTTGGAATATAAAATAAGAGTTTGTTTGTTTAATGTAAAATTTGCTCTTAATTTTTATGTATAAATAACTAAATGGAACACTCAATATATGGATTAAATGGATTATATTTATATTATGGATATCGAGAATAATTAAACAATAATAAAAAATTTGTGGAATATTGTGATTCAACAAATAAATAAACGTTGCATTATAATTCGATATACGGAGTATATATATTTATTGTTCGTCAATTGTTAAAACGGATATTTATGTCGTCCTATAAGTCGTTCATAATTTGTATAAGTTATTCAAAAAAATTTTGCCAGTTCCAATTATAACAGTTTCTTAACTTTTGGAATTTTTAAATTTCGATTTATTATTTAATCGCTATGATGGAAGTAGTTATATATGTATGTTTTTATATGTGAGAATTTCAATGAAAATTGATATTGACCTATTCTACTAAGGAGTATTGTAACTGGAGATGTTGGAAAGTAAATGGACTATTGTAAATTTAGTTTTAGTTTTTCTTATACCAGAAAATTAGAGATGATTCAAAGTATATTCTAACAAATTTACAAAACAATTAAATTCAAAATAAACAAATAAATAAAATAATTTCTGGAGATCATTTTCCTTATTATGTTTAAATAAAAAAAATCTTGCTCATATTTCTAATGAATAGAATTTAATAACATTCAAGATTATTGAGCATAATTTATCCAATTTAAATAGGGTTCCGGTACTTACTACAATAAATCATTTGGGAAAATTTGGTGAACTTAGCTAAGTTAGTTTTTGGGTTAATCCAGGAAAGTTTGGGACGAAGGAAGGACGGACAGACAAAGCTAAATCAACTCAGGATTCGACGCTGATCAAAAACAAACACTTGAGTCTATATCTCAGAGCATTATTTCTTAGTGTTACAAACTGTAAGGCTAATTTAGTATACCTTTCGAACATACATTCGTACTTGTATAATAAAGAAGGTATAACACATTAGATTTAATTTAGTCTGGCAATGATTAGATTTTATCATATCAAAAATTCTTTTTATTTCAAAATTTTTCCATTTTTTTTAATAAAATATTTTTAACAATGTTAAAAGGGTAGGTACATAAAAAGAATTTTGACTTCTGTTTTAATCACTTTGGAGTTTTCCTACAAATTTTTATCTAATAAAAACTTATTTTTGCAAACAATTCATAGAAATTTTAAACTTACTAGCAACTTTTTGTTAAGTCTTTATTGAAATATTTAAGCTTCAATTAAAAATTATTTTTAAAATCCGAACTTTCTATGTAATAAAAGTTCACAAAATAGTTTCAAATTACTGTAAGCACTTTGATAAATTAATTCTAATTTTTTGTTGTTTTTTTTTAACTAATTATTTATTTACTATTCTTGTACTTTAATTAATACAGCAGAAGCTTACTGAAGCTTAGCGAATGGTCGTAAATTTTTTTCGTAAATATAGGAAAAACAAAAACTTCACAGTTCTGTAATTCTAATTTTGTATATGTGTAATCAAAATTAACACATTCACAATGTTAATACTTGATTTTGATTAAATGTTATCTTTTAATTTCATATTTAACGATGATATACAAAAAAAACATTAATATACTAAAATCATTTAATTGGGTGTTTGAATATAAGTTAAATTTTTCATACAATGATTCCCGAATATACTTAATTTGAATTAGTTCTTTAATATAAAATAAAAAACAGCAACATATGCTAATATTTTGAAAGATTCACCATTCGTGTATAATTCATAATTTTGAAATTTCTGAATATTCTGGAATCAATAGTGATAACAAAATTGGTAACTCAAATGGTTCACAACTAGATAACTATAACTTTAAATTTGAACTATCTAAAACGTAGTGTACGGTTGTACTTAGTATGAACGGTACGGTTGTATCTAATTCGGGTCTGATCAAGGGTGGATCTGTTATCATGAATTCCTTTTAATAATAAGCCCAATCGAACATTTATCTTACTCCAATTTCAACTATTTTGTTCGTGTACGTATATTTAAACATTGTTTAACGTTTTCATTTTAAATATTGCTTGAAGTTGCAAATTTAGTATTTACCTTTTTAAATACTTTTAAAAAGGTAGGTTACCGCTTAAATATTTACCACAAATAATAAAACTATGGCCAAGTAATTCCAAACCTGACTAAGATTTAAGCAAATTAGATTTTTAGTCTATTGACTAATTTGTTTAAATGCTGTAGTCAATTGAACCGAGCAAACATACTTCTTATACTTATTCTTCTATTGTTATAATGTATGTTTTTGGTTACATTTTACTGCGTAAAATTTATTTTTAAAAACATCATTAATTCACACCGTTGCTTTTCATTTCCTCTCTTGGTGAACTTTTCGCTAAATAATTAACGTCATAAATTTGTTTTTTTTTTTTGTCTTATTCATTAAAAATCATTTCCCAACAGTCTTCGTTTTTTTTTTAATTCGCATTTATTAAATTAGAAATCAAAAATAAATTGAAAACCGTGTAACAACACAAGATGATAGAAAAAAAATCAAGTAAAATAAAGAATTTTAATTTGAAAAATTTCCACATAGAACAAATTTTTCTAATTTTAAATGCAGAAAACACAGAATTACATACAGTCTTATATATATGAAAATAGTTTCTGTAAAAACTATAATAAATGCACTTTATTTTACTTCAATTTTTAAATTGTTCATTTTTTTCTACAAAAATCTGAACTTTTTTTCGAAGCAAAAGTTGAAAATAAAAAGATGAAGCATAAATTATGTACAATTTTTGTACTTTCTGCCTACAATATTTTTACAATGATATTGATAATGATTGGTAATGATGATGATATTCAACTATTATCCAAAACAATCAACTATGTACCACAAAATTTTTATGTATTTTTCATTTTCTGTTTGTTGTTCTTTAAAATAACAGAAAACAGACGTAAAATAAACGAAACATGCTGTTTGTATTTACTAATATGGGGGTGATCCTGTACTAAAAGTGTATAATTCTTAAAATTTATGTGATTGAAAGCAAATGGGTACAAATGTATTGTTCAACGGTTAGTCAGAAGTTTACTGAACCATTTCACGGATATACACAGGCCTCAGATCTTTGATTGAATCAAAGTACTGGAATATTTGAAAAAAAAAACTTCAAGAAAAAAATCCATTTTTTTTTAACTCCGGTAATTGATTTGTTTTTTATACTTTTTCACCCTTTTCAATTATTAACGAAATTAATTTTAGTTGTTAAATATAAATATAAACTTAAATAAATTTAGACAGAAGATTAATTTTATTTACTTTGTAAATTCATATAAATAATTGATTTCTTATTCCTACTATCTTCGTTGTATCCGCAAAGTATTATTCACATTCGAAAAATGCTGTGCATTTTTGCCATCCTTATTAATAGCAAATTTCTAAATATGAAAAATGATTCCTGGTTTAATCGAATTTTTTTAAAGTTTTCAACAAAATAACCTCCTAAGGTTATGCAAATTCACAATAGCAAATATTCTAATTCGGAAATAAAAATGTAATTATGTAGAACCTTTTCCTGTTCAAAAATTTGTGATGATTCTCGATAAAATTTAGTGCAAAAAGTGAGATGTAATGAACACAATTCGTAATTAAGCTCTACTTTACCCAATTATTTTTGACATTTACGACAATAAATGTAATCAAAATTGTTTATAATTCAGCCTATTTTTTCATAATCATGGTTATGTATTTAAATTTAAAATATTTTCCAATTTTTTAAAAACCAAATATACGTGTAGCTAAACCTAACGCAAAAATATAATATTCATAGTAGCTATTAAAAAGTTTTCATAGTATATGAATTAAATATATCCCTAACAATATGCAATTTCTAAAATGATCATAGAGTCATTTAAACGAATTTCATAAAACTGTTGTAGAGTGAATGAATATAAAATCAAATGTGGTCTAATTCAGTAGTCAATTTCGAAATCTAATACTAATAAGATTTTCAGTTATGTTGTAGATATGTATGTCTATGAAATAATTAATTATTCCATATTCCCCAAGTACCATAACACTTGGAGACCAACCGTATTCTATTAATAATGTTAAGAATTAAGATAACCCTTTTTGCTGGAGAAAACAAGTTGTCTCGCGATTATTTTATTCATATTGCAAAAACCGCGAATTTATTCGACTGAAACCAGTTTATTTAAGTTTTTTTCTGTTTTTTTTTACGCTTTTTGCTCTTTTGCCTTCCATATGTACCTACCTATATTTGTGTATTCATGTAATATGTTTGTATATATCATATGTATGTAGATACGTACAAATATATACATATAATATATTCACGATTGTAATGCATAAGAATTTTTTTGTTGTTATTTTCATTTTATTTATTTTGTAATGTTAGCTTAGATAAAACCCAAATAACTTTCCATGATAAAAAAAAAATAAAGAGAAAAAGAAGAAGAGTACAAGAAAATAATTTTAAAATCAAGCATAACAAAGTTAATAAAAGAAAAGGAAAAAAAAAGGCAAACAAATTTAAAGTTTCTTCAAAATTGGATACATTTTTAGGTAACCGAGGAGTTTCTATATAAAAGTGTTATTAAAGCATATAAAACCATTTTATTCTTCACAATATTATTTTATAGTAGACCAGAATTTTTAGAATATTATTTTTTGGGGACCTATTTATGTTGAAATTTTCATGACGTAATCCTGAAGCATATACAAACTAGGTATATTATTTGAAGTAAATATTGCACTGAATGTGCAAATGTTTGTATAAATGTATATGGTGGTTCATATTAAAAATATAAAATAGATTCAAGCTAGAAATTTTTTTTGGGCTAAACTCATGCATATTTATATGAAAATGCTTTCCGTTTTTTTTTTAGTAGAATGTACTTGTAATGAACTTATGTTAAGACCATCCAACCATCCAACCAACCATCTAAATTTTTTGTTTTTATAAATAATGTGAAATGTACAAGTTTGTATGTTAAGTGCCTCCCAGATAATTTTTTTGTTTTGAATTTTTTTTTCAGCTTGCACAAAAAGCTGCGGCGATGATGTTTTTTTTGTTCCCTTAAAATATAAAAAAAAAATTTATGATTTTTTTTTTGGGCTCCCTTTTTTTTGCCTTCTTTTTTTTGTGTGGATATTTGAATTCTGTTGAATTTTTGAAAAGTATGAAAAAAGTAGTAAAATCGCGTTAAAATAAAAATTCAAGAACAAAAATAATTTAAAAGAGAAAAAAAAAAGGAGTAAAAACTTGAAACTTTGTTTTTCTTAGTTTTGTTTGTACTGTTGTTTGTGTTTGGAGTGCTTAAATGCCTTTTTTCTAAAAAAAAAAAAAACAAAAACAACTTTTTTGTGTATATTTTTATTAGTACACGTCGTACTCAAAGTTGAATAAAATAAAGTTGGGTCAAACCAATGGTTTGTATTGTAGCACTTTTCCCTTCTACAAGTGCAAATTCTGCTTTTAAATACAGTCTATGTATACCTATCACACTTAAAATTATTTTCATTCATATACGAAACTATTTCTAGGATTGCATATATTTAGGATGATGCATACATGCAGTCTTTGAAATAAAGCAAAAATTAATATAAAGCGGGGTTAACATAACGCTCGATTTTAAGGGTTAATTGTGTTAGTTAAGAAAAATAATTATATTTTTTAATGTCACTGAATTTACCGTTAGCTTTTTATGTTTATAGAAATTTGAAAACGTTTGCGGTTTCGGAAATATAAGGCGCCAAAAATTCAAATTTTACAAATTTCAAGAGACGATAACTTGAGAGGGGGTGGAGATGGAAAAAAATTTCTTCTAACTATGAACTAATGATGAACTATTTGTTAATGTCTAAAAGCCCTTAAAATTTTAAGCTTCTACAGGCTGAGGTCTAGAAGAAAAACGAAATCAAGAATTTGGAAAAAAAAGACTTTAGATAACGGTACATTTGAACGGCCATTTTGTTTTTCTAAAGTTTAACTATAGTATACCGCGCTAGGGGAAGCAAGCCGCTGCCTTTACGAGTTTGCAAAATTTTAAAAATGCTTATGGTTTCATTGCAACAAATAGTTAAAAAAGGCCATTTTTAGGGTTTTGGGGGGTAAAACTTCTAGAGGGGGAGAGATAGGTAAAAATTTTGTTCTACGGAAATAAGTTTTTAGTAAAGATCTATATACATACAATTTTTCAGCTTTCTATCTCCAAGGGTGTAGAAGTTTTGTAAACAGACACACGGACAGACGGACGGACAGACAGACGGACGGACGGTCGGACGGACGGACGGACAGAGTGAAACTAATAAGCACTTTTTTTCAAAATTTTTTTGGAAAAGTGCTAGAAATGAGCTTCTTGACTCAAACTAACATTAAATTTTTTTTCTCATTCTATTTTATTTAATTTTAGAATATGACCGGAAATTATTTTGGAAATGACAAAATAAAACAAACGAATTGAAATTAAGCAATTTTTGTAATGTCATTGCCAAAATGTTTAGACTAGCAATTACTTATACGTACCCATTACTTTTAATTAATTAAAAATAGCAGACTTAAAATCATTAAATTAATAACAGCAGCCTGCAAATTTAAATTTGAGTCCTTTAATTAATCATTTTGAATATTAATTTTAGAGCTTAAAATACCTCAAAGTAGCAATATGTCATTGGTATGTCATGCATATTTAACAACTACACTTATATGCAAACATAATAAAATGTATGTATTAGACTTTATTATTGGCAGTTTAATCATCTACGACAATTCTTTAACTCCGACTGTTTATTTCGCGACTCTAACAGAGATTTTTTAAAATTTATTACTCAACTGCCTCATATGTTAACAGGTTTTTGTTTTTTAGTTATAAATAATTAGTTGTTATGGAAATTTTTGATTTAAATGAGAAATTTTTTAAGATTAAATATTAATTTTTGAATTGCTGAATTTGATGCCAAAAATACTAATTACAAGTAAATAGAAGGGCAGTGCTATATATTTTCTACCACTCGTGGTTGGCATAGGAATTAACAATTTATAATATAAAAATATAATTTAACAAAGAAAAACATGGAAAAATTAGTTATTTAATTTAAAATTAGAATTTAAATTTAATTTTTTTGTTTATGAAAACAGAAATCCGTCCTGTTTTAGGCTTTAGAATTTACATTATATACAAATTTCGAGCTTTGTATTCAATTTTTTGTTATTAGCAATCAAAATACGCCTTTCAAAATCCAAAATATTTAACAATTTAACAAAATTTTGTACAAGTACTTACTTAATTCTTTTTATTTATCAACAAAACTCAACAGGAAACATTAAGCTTCATTTCGATCTCGAAAACAAAAAAACAGAAATATAAAAAATTTTCAATGTACATTGTGAATCTTATAATTCATTGGAATAACGATGTAATTTTTGTTTAATTTTTTTTTGTAACTTATTTTGAATTTAGTAAGTTTATTTTTTTTTAATTTTCTTTTATTTTTCTTTTCTAACTTTTCTAAAATTCAATTCAACTAAAGGCATATTATTATAATCAAGATACGGGATTTTCGGGTACTAGCGGGAGAATTTTTTTTTCTTCAACATTTTGTTGTATTTTATTTTTGTACTTCATACAATACAATGTACTCTTTATTTATGTAGTCGTACACAACAATAATAATGCCTGTGTACTTGCCTATATTCACTTCAAAACGTTTTCTTTTTTTCTACTCCTATAATATTAGAAAAAAACGAAAACTAGCTCTATATTATGGTACACTGACTGATAATATTCTAAAAAGTAACCAGAAATGGCAGAAATTTTATAATATTTTGTGTATAAGTTCGTAGTTTGTATAGTTCCCAGTTCTATATACCTTTTCTTTTTTGCTCTTTTTTTAGTTCGTAGGTTTTTTGTATTGTGTAGTTGATTTTTTTTAGGTAAAAAACGTGATTATTTTTTAGCCTTCTTTTTGTTTTTTTTCTTTTCTAGTTTTTAGTTTTTTTTTTAGTATAATTTTTGTTTTTCATTTTTGATATTCTTTACAATGTTTATTTATTTATTCAAGTATGCAAGTGTTGCAACAATAAATATTAAATAAAAAAATGAATAAAATCTAAATAAAATAAAAAAATAGAGAAACGAAAAATTGAAAAAAAAAAATAAAAAATTAAAATAAAAATATTTTAAAAACAATCACATAGACTCTATGTATAAAATATATTTGGTTGCATAAAAATGTTTGTGTACTTGCTAAAATATAATTTATAAATGAATATTCAAAAAAAAAAAAGAAAATCCAAATTGTGACGATAAAACGAGGATTTCAATAAAAACAAGGAAAAAAAATATTTTGGAATAAATTTTCCATTGTGTTTTTTTACATTTTTTTTTAATTTTATGACTTGTTTTTTTATTCATTATAAATTTATTTAAAAAAAAAATTATGTAAAAAAAATATCAAACAAAAATAGCGTTATAAATTTAACCTTATTTTACTGTTTTTTTTTAAATTTTAAAAATTTTTTTTTTGCAGATTTTCTACATGAAATTTAAAAAAAAATAGAAAATTTATTTTCAAAGTCTATTAAAATATTAAAAAAAAATAAAATATTTTTTTTTGTGCAAATTGTGACAAACAAAAAAAAACAAATGTTTAAAAATTATGGAAACATGGTCTCATAGCAAAGTGATTTGTTTCAAAAACGTTACACTTTAAAATTTTTATTTAGGTCCGAAAAAAAATAGAAAAAATATAAACAAGAACAAACAAAGTTCGATTCTTTAAAATTGAAAAAAAAAACAACCTTTAACAATACTGAAAAAAAAATTTAAAATTGTTAAAAATAGAAAATTTTTTTTTTTTTAATAAATTGTTTTGCATATAGTTAAATGTGAAATAAAATAGAAAATAATAAGAAAATATTTAAAGTGTTTTAAAAATTAAAATAATCGATTTTAATAATTTAAAAAATAAATCACATATTTTAAAAATTAATAGCCCCAAATATTGTAATATTGGAGTAAAGTAAAATACAAAAATAATTTTTTTTGTATAAAAGTAATTAACATAATAATAATAATTTTTTTTTAAATTTATAAATTAGTAAATTATATTCCTTTTAAACAATATGGGAAATTTAAAAGATTTTAGAATTTTAAAATATCAAATTGGATTATTTTCATATTTAATATTTTTTATTGGATTATTAAATGGTCAAGAAACAACAATATTACCAAAGGATAATATTAACGAATTATCATCATCGTCATCGTCATCATCATCAACAACCGAACAAATATTTGATGGTAAGTTTTATGTTATGAATTTCTATAATAATTATGCTATACTTAGTTAAATTTGTTGAGAAAGTAATTACTCGCATGCTAAATTTACTCGCACGCTAAATTTATTCTTGTCAATAACAAAAACTTTTAATATGAAAATATTTTGAAGCTTTAGTTTAAAAGCAATATATTTTTTATAAGAATTGTCTTAAGAGTCATTTATACCCTTGATTTTATACCTTTATGTAAAATTCTTAAACAAATTTTTTAAATATTTACAAAATGTCTTTATGATTAATGTAAAATCCAAAAGAATCAGTTAGTCGCATTAAAATTTTCACAACTTTACTGTGCGTCATACTGTTTTTAAAAATCTGACAGGAAATCTGATGCTAATCGAATTTTAGGCTTCAATTTTTTCCGCCAGAGTGAGAAATCTAATGTTAGAATTCGGTTATACATCAGGGCTTTTTTTTATTATTGGATAAACAGAAATTTTGAAAATTTTTTTATTAATTTATTAAAAAAAGTAAAAAGTGACTAGTGCGATATTGCCCAGATAATTATTAGATTCGGATTTTATGAAGCCTTTTAAATTTTGAAAAATTTCTTATTAATTATTAAATTTTGAACATACACGACTTGAGAATGAATTTTTCTTTTAAAACTCTAGAGATCATCGAGAAATTCATCCTGGATAAAAATTTATCATGAACAATTAGCGGTTTTCTATTGAATGAAATCTACGAATATTTACACACTAGCATTAAATTTAAAATATAGTTATTTAGGATAAATTGGCATTTATAGACTCAACTTTGACTCAATAAAACAACTTGGCATTTATAGACTCAAATATGTATTAATACTAAATAACTACAGTTTTTTGAGTTTTATATTTTACATTATGTTACTAAAATTAATTACATTATAAGTCTCTAAGATTACTGTTTAATTTACTGTAAAACTCTTTTCAGTGTTATTGCTGTAATATTTATTTAGACGCAAAAACTTTAAAATTTATAATTTTTAATAAATAACTAATAAGTAAATAGCTATTTTTATAGGATTTTTTTTCTCTTACGATAAATTTTTTAATAGCTGAAATTACATTATTGCTTATTAGTCATTGTTAAACACATTTTTCACTTTGCTACTAGTATTTTCTTGAATAATATTTTTACATAAATTATTTCTTAACAATAGTATTGAATCTCGGCGACACTTTAATAATATAAGTTTAGTTAAGTAATTTGTTTAAGTTTACAGTCTTGCTATATAATAGTTTATTTGTGTGTTTGATGTACTAAAGTCAATTTTACAATTTATTTTTTAACTTGTATTTCTAATGTGTTTCTAACAACAAATAAATAAACTAGCTAGTAAAACTTTTTTTTTTTTCATTACAATCACATGTAGTTAAAGTTTGAATGACAATGCAAAAATTCTGTGTAAAAAAATGTTTTTGAATATCTTAAGCTTATAATAATATTGGCGCCGATGACTTTTGGTATAATGTTTTGATTGTTTGATGGTTATTTTTAAATATTTTAACAGAATTTTTGTGAAGTTTTATAAAATATATGTACTTAATTAATTACTAATTTCTCTTAATGATTAATATACTCATTAGGATATTGATTTTATTTTATTCAATATTGAAAAATAATTGTGGAAATTGTAAGTAATTATTTATGCGAATTTGTGCAAAAACTATTGTAGAACCTCTAGAATTTATAATAGGGTAGTACTGCAACATTAAAGTTTACTAGTGAATAACTCTGAAATTGATGTTAATACTCATGGTTTATTATTCTATTGTTTGCAAAAATCACTGCGCTTCTTAATTACAAGGTAGTTTATTTTCGCGATTATTATCGGAGCCTTGCAATATTAAATATAATTTTTTGCTAAACATTTAATAATTATTTTCATAAAAAAGAAATGTTAATGTCACCAAATAAGAAATATTCAAATCAGGCATTAAAAATAATGTTCGATACGCTTACCCAAACACTCTTTCATACTTGTAAATCATACATACATATGTATGTATCTCTTATATATTTTTATGTGGTGGCAAAAATATTTGACAGTTTCAAAAAATTTTCATAATAATTTTCAATAATAATTACTGTTATACATACAATTAAGACAGTAATATTGTTTTATTATTTGCGTGCATACTGATGTGTCATAGGTATTTTATACATTAATCATACAGACAGTTCAATATAATTAAAGTTATATTGTATTCAGTAAGCATAACCATTATACAATATTAATTTTTGTAGCTGGTACATTTTATTTGATGAGAATTTCTAATCAAAAAGCTCAATTATTCTTCCAATTTGTAGGTTAATATGACAGTTAAATAAACATAAAATAATTATTTGCACTAACACATATATACATATGTATATGTTATATGTATTTTTATTTTGACATATAATTTCATTTTATGTCAAAATAAAAATGCAAAATTCCCGCATTACTCTACTCTTTTTTTATTTTTATTGTAATTCTACAGTATTATGAGAATACCAGTTTTTATATTAATAAATTATAAATTTAGTACCACAAGTCCCCTACATATTTAATAAGATTTTCACTTTCTATACAAAGTAAGTGAAAATATTAATGTGAATTCATAATGGAATTAAGATTTAATATATGTAAATAGGTTCTGATAAGATCTAGCTTTACTTTCATACTTATTTACAATGAATTTTTGAATGAATTTTTGAATGTTGTTTTTTTTTATGTTTTTTGTTATATTTAACTTTTCGCTTTTATTTTTAACTTTAAGCGTTTATTTTGTTTTAAAAGTGTCATTGTGCACAAAAAAAAATGAATTAAAAGAGGGGGAAAAAATCATCTTTGTAAATTTACAAAGCAAATCAGAGGTTTCTTTTTTTTTTTTTTGTTGATTCCCTCTTGAGGGCAAATGAGTAGTTTTTTTTTTGTTTTATGTTTTAAAAACAAGTAGTAAAAGAAAGTGATGGAAAAAATTCCCGAACATAAAAAAAAAATTCTTATACTAAATTTGAATGAATTTTTAAGTTTTGTTTTCATTTCTTTTTTTGTTTTTAATAAAATTGTGAAAATTCATTCACCTGTAACAAAATTTTTAATATAAAAAAAAAAGAGAAAAACAAAAATGGTTTAAGTGCGGTTATGACAGAAAATTTTTGTTCCCCTCTATATGTTAAATTCTTAAACTTGCTACTATCAAGTTGATGTACCGTAAATTTTATTTTATTCATTTAAGAATTGCGGTGAAAAATGTTGATAGGTACATACATACATAGGGCATAATTAGATTTATTTGTCTTATTTAATAGAGCATTAAAGCCGAAAATAATGTAGAATTTTTTTTTAAATTTAAAAGGTCAAAATTAAACTAATTAATGTCGAAATTCTCGTATAAGTTTGACAGTGTAAGGTTTGAAAGCATTTCTAAAATAATACTAAATGTTAGTAATTCATGACATTTTTTTTGTTTAAGCAAAATTACGAGTAATTACTAAAACCTCAGATTTTTTGGAAAAGAATGCGAACTGATGTAGAACAATAAAAATTATTATAATTTGAGTACTATATTTAAATGAAATCGATTGGGATTTTTAGAAGTGTTGTCGAGTATGAAAAAAGAGTTATTGAAAAACTAGAAAATATTGGTAATTAATCACTTAATACCCAAAATTTGGATATATAATATAAAACGTAATCTCTTTTGTATGATTGCTTTGTTTGAACTTTATTTATTCTTGCTCATATTTTCTCTTAAACACAAATGAACTCATACAGTTTGCAACATAAGTTTGCAACTCATACAGGCATGCAACATATACGCGATTATGTCTTTGTTTAATTGAAAAATATAATTTGCTTGTGTTGCAAATGAGAAGTTGGATGGTAAGGTGAAAGTAAGTATTTTATGCATTTAACAAATTTCTTGTATCAAAATATAAAAAAATGTTTTGAAGAACATTTAAGTTTTATTTCGAAATTTTATTTCGGTATTTGTCGTTTCAATCTGTACGCTCTGATCAAGCTAAAATCATTTTAATTTATTCTCATTAAATATGAAATTTTCAAATTTCATATTTTTTTCGTGATCGTTCTTTAACATAATCAAGTTTGAAAAAATTTTTAAATGAAAGAAAACAAAAATAAGGTATGGAATATTTTGAGCTTGAGGAAATTAAATATGCAATTATTATTATTATTGTATTTGTGTATAGAAATCGAAAAGATTTAAAAAAAAATTTTTAAAATTTTATAATGTCCCAATTTCTTATTACAAAACCAAAAAAACAAAATAAAATTTCATTTTTTAAAAGAGAAAAGTTGCTTTAATGAATTCCAATCGTATTTTCGCGTTGAAGCACAAAATTTAAATTGAATTCATTAGGTGGTTGCTTTATTGAAATGACAATTAGCGTTTCTTTTCTTTTTCAAAATTTTCTTGCAAAATAATATTATGCATTATAATATACTGTAATTTTATACTTACTATTTGGCTCATAATTGCAAATTTATAGCCGGTTTTTATAAGGTAATTCAACTTTTTTTTTTATCATGTAGGCATTTATAAAGAAAATGGAGTGAAAATGTTTATGACAAATTAAACAATATTGAATATGCATAATTTCATTAAGTATTTCTTAATTTTTAAAAAATTTGCAATGTAAGTTATTTTACAAAAATATGGGATCGTAGTTAAAGTTCAAGGTATTGTTCAGTGCAAAAGTTAAATAAGAACGCTTAAGAAAATCAAATTTCTTTCATATTAAGTGAGTATTTCTTAAGAAAATTGTGAATTTCAAAATGTGTTTATTATGACTGCATTTCAAACACTCGTTTCCTTAAGGTTTTTATATATTATTTGCAATATTTTAAAATTACCTCAAAATTTAGTTGTATGGGGTAATAAAATCAAATTTGTATACAAAAAATTCTAGAATATTGTAATTTATAAACTCGAAGACGATAAGCACAAAAATTTAAAAGAATAT